GGGCCTGGGGACAGGAGCAACAGATGGACATGATAGGGGCTGAGGGACAGCCCTGCCCTCTCCCGTCCGGCCTCTGCATACACCTAGGAGGTAGCCCTCTGTCCCCTACCCCGCCCCTCTTTATTATCTGTGCTAGGGGTACCCAAACCAGCCGTAGCTTACAGGGGCTGTGGGTTAGATAGAAGTGCCCCATCCCCGGCAAGAGCCAGGATGCCAGGCTTGACAAGTGCAGTGCAGACTGAATTTCTGACCAGCAAAGGGGGTCTCGGTACAGTGACAGCCTTCATAGAGGGTCCTTTGCCCTCCCTTAACCTCTCCTGCTCCCAAGGGCACCAGGGCTCATCCCCTTGGGCAGTAGAGACTGGGCACAGTGGCGCCCAGCCAGGAAGTTTGACACAGGGCAACTGGCCCAGAAGCTGGGCAGCTGCACTGACATGAGAGTGGGTGCCTGCAGCTAAGAACCCGGCAGCGCCCAGTAGGGTAGTGAGAGCCAGCAGGGCCAGGATCAAGAGCCCCAGGTGTCCTTGAGAGACTGGGTCAGACAGGGCAAGGCTAGCCCAGTTCCCCAGAGCCCCACGTCCCTCTTACCTCCCTGTCCCCCAAACTCACATCAGGACACAAGAGGTGCTTCCAGGCACACTGCACATCTGACCTCCGGAGTTGAATAAGGAGGCATGGGGATGGAGAAGGGGCACCCACCCCAAATCCCCTTAGGGAATTTCTCCCCCTCAGGGTTTGTGTCTGGTCCAGTTCCTGACCCAAAAGTAAACTCGTAAAGCCATGACTGAGACATGCCACTGAGCCCCAGGCCATGTCAACATGCCAGAATGTGGAGACACGGTTCTAGGTTTCCTGGCTTTTCAAGAGAAGCCAGAAACTCAGCTTTAAAAAAAAAAAAAATGTAAATGGTGTTGGTCCAGCAGGTGGCATAATGGTTAAGACACTGAATCCCATATGACTGTGAGGTTCAAATCCCAGGCCTGGCAGCTTGAAAACATAGGTGTCCGTGTGTGTGTGCCCACAATCTTGAGAGGAGAATGAATGAGGAGATTGAGGCATGGCCACCCCTCTTGAGAGGTGACTTCTCACTTTCCCTCTCTCTCGGTCTCTGTCTGTCTCCAGTGAGCACATATGCCCTACAGCAAAACGACTTAAAAAAGTGTAAATGGTGGTAATAAATTCCAACTTAAAACAACATATGCTTGCCAAACCAAAACATTTTTTAAGACTGGATGTTCCCTGTGTGCCACCTGTGGGAGTAGATGCCAGGGAGGGTACAGGAAGTGAAGGTAGGAACCAGCTGTTGATGTGATGGCTATGTCATTGGACTCCCATGTAGCTGACCACGGTATGAATCCCAGGCCCAGTGGCTTAAACTCACGCCGGGCGCGTGTGCGTGCGTGCCCAAGATCCAGAGAGGAGAATGGAGGAGAAGGGATTGCGGCGTGGCCATACCCCCGGGGGGTGATTTCTCGCTTTCTGTCTCTCTCTCTCTCTCTGTCTGGCGAGCACATGTGCCCTATAGCAAAAACCTCTCAAAAAGAAAAAGAAAAAAGAAAAGGAAGTAAAGGTTGAATCCTTACCAGGACACAGCCCCCTGCTTCGGGAAGGAGATGATGAGGTCCAGTGTCACTGGGCTGGAGCTCTGGGTCTGTAGGAGCAAACAGAAGAGAGGCCAACCTGGCCCTGCCCAGTCTGAGTATTTGCCCTGCATGCCTCACGTCCCCCAGTGCTACTCAGGCGTAAGGTCAGGTGCCAGCATGGACAAGCCCTGAACTGCCGCTCCACCTGTACTGGTCTTTCCCAGATCTCAGCACCTGATGCACTCGCGAATTCATCAACAGACATACTCTGAGTGCCTGAAGAGAGAAGGCAGACACAGAGGTTGCCCCTGTCCTCCAACAGCTCACACGCCAGGGAGGGGACAGGAGCAACAGATGGACATGATAGGGGCTGAGAAGAGATCGTGTCCACTTGTAAGCTGTGAGCAAGGAGACCTAGGTTCAGGCTGAATTGCTGTCTTTACAGTTCCTAGCTGTGTGATTGATTGCTTGATTGATTGATTTTACCATAAGGCACATGCACTCACCAAAGAGAAACAGAGAGAGGCAGAGAGGGAAAGTCAGAAATCACCCCTCAGGGGGCAGAGTCACACGACAATCCTCTCTCCTCCATTCTCCTGGGATTCTAGGCATGCGAGCACATGCTCTAGGTATGTTTAAAGTCAGCGGATCCAGGACTCAAACCCTGTAGTTGGCCATGTAGGATCTAGCAACCTAACCATCTTGCTACCCCTTGTCCCTGCTGTGTGATCTTTGCATGGAGCAAAGTTACCTCTCTTCCCTGAGCCACGATTCCTTTATCTGTAATTGTGTGATAGTAATCTTTTTCCCCCCTAATTTGCCAGAGACTCATGTACTCACCAGCGAGAGACAGAGAGGGAGAGGGACAGGGAAAAAGCACAGCCCATGCGGAATGGTCATTCTGCAATCCCTTCTCCATCTCTCCATCCTGTCAGGATTTGGGGCACACACGCGCATGCACCTAGCATGTATTTCAAGTCACTGGGGCGAGGACCCTAATGGTGTGGTCAGTCACATGGGATGTGATTGCCTTAACCACCAGGCCATGGAGCTGGCCCAACAATCCTTATTTTTCTGGGCGACTGAAAGCATCAAATGGGAATATATGTATGATCTTTATGATAAACTGCAGTGTATATTCACTTAATAGTAGTAGCTATTATTAAGACTATGAATTCCTTAAGAGCATAGACTATGTTATATACTTTTCTTATATCTTCTAGGGCCTAGAGACAGAGAGACAGAAAGCGAAAAAATCA